TTGAGGAGTGTGCTTCTCCTGCGCTTTCGGCCTATTTTCCCCGACTTCTCTGTTTTTTTTTCATGTACTGGTGCTCTTTTGCACATTGATTCCCTTACTTTTTGTTTTTTTGCTATTGGAAATCCTCGTTCCGCCAGAAACCTTTGGTATGTCATACAATTAGCCAGTCCTGATGGCGGCAGCTTAAACTCAGACGCATCAGTTGATTGGAAAATCCTGTCTTGAGGTCCTTGTATCTCAAAATGCGCGGGATCGGGTGACACAAGCATATGATTTGTAAAATGAGGCAGGACAGGTAGTGAAAAATACAAGTTTATTATGGAGTGGTTAGGTTGACGTGCACGCCCTTGGCCGCCTCAGCTTCTCTGATCGCCGATACCCATCAGAATTCCACTCTGGCCCCCGTGATTTCGAACCCTCAACCCGCAGATCTTTACGTCAGCTCCTCATTTCGATCCCAAATTTTCCACTGACGATCACGGTGTGAATCCTCTGGTTTCGCCATTTGCTAGTAATTTAGTTGGTCAGCAAAAAGATCTCAGGTTTGCATTCTCCCTCCTACGCTTTGATGACCAACCAAGCATTTAGTGTCATATCCTCGGCTGGACTCCAAGCGGACTGTGTCCGATGGCGTCTTGGTCCCTCTGTCTTGCCATTTCGGGACGGACAATCTCGTTCGGTTTAGAAAGCTCGTCCTTGATGATTTACGTTTACCATATATAGGCCAGCCCTGTTCGATCCGCACATTTTCCCTCTCATGAGCGGCAATCTTTTTTCTCCTTAAAGGTTAACAAATTCGCACTCATCTAGTTTTTCTCATAAGGAGTCTTTTCACTGCTCGCTGACCGTTTTTGTATGTATCTGTTTATTCTACAATCAAAAACTGCATAATGTACAGAATCTGCCTACTTGCTCTAAAATTTACGTGTAAATTTATATTTCCTTCCTATGACGAGACTCCAGAGGGCCTTTCAATAAAATCATATATTTATTTATGTTTATTATCGAGTGCAAAAAACGGAGACCTAATACAAGGTGGGTTGCGGTAGAAAGAAATGAACAATGAAACGACTTATCGTGGAGGGGTTGGGAGTTGCTCGTCCGCACGTGACCTTGGAGGCGCAGTCCACGTCAAAAAACGGAAGAATGTCATCTAACGTAAGTGTTAATTAAAACGACCAGGGTTAGGACTCTGGTTAGATCTCCGCCTGTTGCACAGCACTTCTAAGGTGGATCACTATTCTCAATGCTAAGATCGACAGGGGTGAGTGGACGGTAACCTCTATGGACACCGGGGTGACCTGGTCGGCAGGGCGGATGGGTAAGTAGATGGGTTAGCAAACTAGTAGGCGACCGCGGTAGAGTTTAATATTGTCAAAACCTGCGGTGAAGGGACGGGCTTTAGGGTGGATGACGCCACGGATAAGCAGGATGGTGGGTGAGGAGGCGCTTATGACAATAAAGGGTCCTTGCCAGGGGTAACGGAACTTAGCGGAGGTTCCGCATGGGTGGGAAGAGCTGTAACACATGACGAGATCACCTCTTTTACGTGTAGGGCCAGATTAGTGACGGTCAAACGGCTCCTTTTGATGGAGCGATGAACTTCATAGGTCCGGCCGCGTAATGTGTACTGCAAATGATCTCGCATGGGCGTGTTGCGCAATCGTGCGGGATGGTTATATCGGGACTGGGTAAGAGGTAGAGAAGGTCGATCGGAAGGCGCATGTCAAGTCCGGTCTAGGGATAGTGGAGGTGAGACCGGCGGAGGAATAGAGGGAACTACGGTGAACTAGGAGGCAGAAGGGCACGTGTACGTCCCAGTCGTGTTCGTAACATTCCTTGGAAGTAGTGAGGAGGAGGTTGTGCAAGGTGCGATTTGTTCGCTCCAAAAGGCCATTTCATTCCGGGTGGTATGGTGTGGTCCGTGTTTCGCGAAACTGAAGGGTATGAGAAACATTCTGGAGCAACTGGGAGTCGAAGTTGCTGTCACATTCTGAATGAAACGGTAATGGAGCACCCCATCGTCTTATCCGTGTGCGAGTGATGGCCTTCACGACGGACGTGGCGTCTTGTTGGAGGAGGAGGACGACCTCGACCCACTTGGAGAAATAGTCCACCATGACAAGGACGTACTCGAATCCGCGGACAGAGATAGGAGGCTGCCCAATGATGTCTAGCCCGACTCACTCACCAGGAAACCCTGCGGTCATTGGTTGCATTGGGCTCGGCACCGGGGATGGGAGTTTTGAAGGATGCGCGCGTAGAGCAGGATTGACAGAAGTGGGAGACGAAGGCGCGTAGCTGTGGCCACCAGAGGCGTGTGCGGGCGGATAGCTCCGTCCGGCGTTGGTCGCAATGGCCTAAATCCGAGTGTAGGTAGGTTAACACAGTGTTGATCAAACAGCCTGGCACCACTGGACGCAAATGATGGGACGAAGGATCGCGGAGGAAGAGGACGTCTAGCAGGACAAGCAGGTGAGTTCATTGGTGCAACAGTAAGCGCACATTTTGACCCGTTCCTCGAATCTCTTGTTCGCCGGGTTTGGATAGCCATTAAGTTAAATGTCAGTAAATGACAACGATATCAAGATCGGAACTCTGTGCTGAGGACCAGGTGTATCGGGTGGATTTTGAAACAATAATAGCGTTAACGTCCATATTGAGTGGTTCATCTTCTATACTGATTGTGCAGAAGAGGCGTGAAAGTGCGTCCGCATTACTATGTTTATCCCGCGCACGGAACTGGCACTTGGAGCCGAAGTTCTGTAAAATCTCCTGCCAACGGGATAGCTGGTCCATAGGGTCCTTGATGGAGCGCAACCACTGTAGGGCGCGATAGTCCGTATGTAGGATGAAGCGCCGGCCGACGAGGAGGTGTTTAAATTGACGTATGAACACGATGGTCGCCAGCAATCCGCGTCTGAAGGTGCAGTAGTTACGGTGTGTTTTAGTGTGTTTCTGCCGAAACAGATTGGGTGTTCTGCACCATCCTTACCGACACAATAAAGAACACATCCGATGGTAAACTGGCTTCCACCAGTTTCTAGTATGAACGGGAGGGCGTCGTCGTCGACGTTGGGAAGAGCTGGGAATGGCGCTGAGCATAATGCCGCACGAAGGTTGTTGAAGACGGAGTCGCATTCGGAGGACCAAGTGCAAGACCAGTCATTTTTAGTGAGCTTTTGAAGGGGGCCAGTGATCTGAGTGAAATTCCGAATTAAATGTCGATAGTATGATGCAAGGCTGAGAAATTTCCGTAGTTCAGTTTGGTTCGTTGGGGTCTTCCATGTACGCATGTGCCTGATTCGGTCGGGTAGAATAGAATAGGTTTATTGTAGCGCCCCTTGGGCACTGTCAGTCCCCTTTGAACTCAGGAAAAAAACCTAAAACAAACTCGTCAATTTCAACTGCACTTTGACTTCATTTGCTTCGGGTGTCTGGTTAGCCAAAAGAGCTCGAATTGAGAGTTTGTTTTAAGTTAAAAAACCTCAGTTCTAAGGAAAATAATAACAAAATTTTCAAAAAATAACGATATGTACAATATAAAAATTGAAGTTTGCAGTTTGGTAGTTTTCGGGGGCATGAATAATATGTCCTTCATGGCAATTGAAGAACTTTGATATCGGCCTGACCTTGAAATTATTTTCCTGTTGGGTAAATTTCGGTTTGCTCTAGTTGCTGGTTGTCAGTCTATCTGGCCAGCTTGTAACGAGCCCAGATATCAGTACGAGAGACGGCCCAAGGAAGTAAGGCTTTGGCAACTCCTATGTACTTGAACGCCTATGTACAATAAGAAACTAAAGAAGGGAAACCTAATTACAAAAATAGACTGGGGCAAGGAGAGATTGTCCAGCGGGATTGGCGGAGGCACAGGGATCCAACGGAGACAGCGACGGAGGTCCCACGTCCGAAGGTTGGCGGCCGGCCACGGGGTTTCCGGAGGTTAATCCTCGCCCGTATTTATAGCTTTTCCAGGGCGGAAGTCATCAAGGTTGGGTCGCCATCGTTGATTGGTTAAGGGTAGGTTGGGGATGGAAAGTTAAACAAACTTAGACCAGGGCTATTTTGCTTAAATTTAGGGCTATAATAATTAATTATATGCATACTTTTTGTAAGAAGCCAAATTGCGACTAACAGCCTGGCGCATAAACTTAGGAAAGTTCGGCGGACGCGCACCTTACGGGGCGCGCTTTCTAGAACCTTCTCCAAGATGGCCGCCGCACGTGGTCTGGCATTCTAGAGTTTCCTACATTGCTCCCCCCTGCGAAAAGGGTCTGCTGTCCTCAGCAGAATCGTCTAGTGCGACAGCGGGTCCACCGTCTGGCAGCACTTCGACAGTCTTCTCTACGGGGTGTCCATCTCTGAGTACCTCAGCCGAAGCGTATCCACCCTCCGGGGGAACCTCTAAATACTGGTCGACTAGCTGGTAGTTGTATGCGTGGGACGGGCCGGCCTCTGAATCGGCATGGCCTGAGTCCTCCTCTGTCGGTGAACCCGGCTTTAGGCGATTAAAGTGTACCGTAAATTCTTCCGAGTACGGTCTGTATTGGCTGCGAACGACACAAGTCGTGTCGGAGAGGACCTTTCTAACCACGTACGGACCTACCCATGCTGGATTAAATTTCTGAGGCACACCCGGCGACGGTGCGAAATTCCGCATCCACACGATGTCGCCCTCCTGATATGGGGTCCCGTGTGCTAGGCGGTCATAGAATGCCTTCTGACGGCGCTGACCTTCTTGGAGATGCAGGCGCGCTTCCTCCGATGCTATACGCAGGGTCTTACGCATTCTCGAGGCGTACGTGTCAACGGTCTCCACGGGGTGTGTAGGGGGTAGGTGGAGATCCTCAGGGAGTTGCATCTCCCTCCCGCACGTTAGGAAAAACGGCGTGTGTTGTGTAGTGGCGTTTACCGTGGATCGGTAAGCCAACATGCACGCTGGCAAGGCCTCGTCCCATGTGGATGCTGAATTTCGGTCGACAAAAGCCCGCAAAAGGTTGATCAGCGTCCGGTTCGTCCTTTCCACCTGTCCGTTGCCCTGTGGGTGATACGCGGTAGTGCGGGTTTTCTTAATTTTCAGGGCCCTACACAACTCGTGTACGACGCTGCTCTCGAACGACGAGCCTCGGTCTGAGTGGAGTTGGTCCGGGGCTCCCCAGCGGCAGATCCACCCGTTGAAAATGGCTCGGGCTACTGTGGGGGCAGACGCATCTGGTAGGGGTACTGCCTCAGCCATTTTGGTGAAACAGTCTACCATGACGAGAATAAACCTATTTCCCCTGGCGGATGGCGCGATCGGACCAACTAGGTCTACCGCTACCCTCTCATTGGGGTAGCCTGTCTGAATTGGCTGTAGCGGGGCTCTGTAGGAGTGCCCGGGGGACTTAAAGCCTAAACACCGCTCACAAGACCGGACAACGTTCTGTATGTCGGTCTTCTGATTTGGCCAGTAGTAACGCCGGCGGAGTGCCCACTCGGTCTTGTGGATGCCGGAATGCCCTAGTTCCGCATGCATCCTTTTGACCACGTCCTCCACCATCGAAAGCGGTAGGACGACTCGCCTTGGGTATTGTTCGTTGTCGCAATAGAATAGAACACCATTTTCGATGAACAATTTGTCCCAAAGGCTATGCAGGCATCGCGTCTCATAACTACAACCCGCTAGCTCAGCTTTATTAAGGGGCCTACCGTTACTAACCTTCCTATCATATATGGGACGTACATGAGGGTCATCCCGTTGGGCTGCGGCCCAGAGAAGACACTGATCGCTTTGCAAAGCGATAGCGGAGATGGTGATGTCCGTGCACGACGGGCACTCCCCGTGGGGGCGATGCGGTTTCCTCGAAAGGGCATCGGCATTACCATGTTGGCGACCGGGTCGGAACACGCACTCAAAGTCGTATTCCGCCAACTTCTCCTGCCACCTCGCTACTTGCCCTTCAGGATTCTTAAAGTTTCTTAGCCAAGTCAAGGCACTGTGGTCAGTGCGTACGACGAACGGCCGGTACTGGAGATATGGCCGGCATTCTTCCACAAAGTGTGTGAGCGCCAACATCTCTTTTCGTGTCACGCAGTAGCGCCGTTCTGCTTTGGTCAACGATCTACTTAAATACTGAATGACGCGCTCGGTACCGTCTGACTGTTGTTGGGAGAGAACCGCGCCGATTGCAGTGTCACTGGCATCGGTATCCAGGATGAACTTCCCGGCATCATTACTAATATCAGGAAAGACTAGA